GTGCCTGCCTGCACCAGGAGCCTCAGGAGTGCCTGTGGATGGAGGGCTGAAAGCATTGGAAATGCAAATTTCTGGGCCGTCACAGGCCTCCTGCTTCAAAGACTGGGGAAGAAGGCCAGCAATGTTCTCCTGGCAAAAGCAAGTCCAGCTCCCAGCTCACAGAACTACGGAGTGAGGGTGGTGGTGGACTAAAGGAGCTGACTCTCAAGGGGCCGCAGCGACGGACTGTAACAGGCCCCCATCTTCTTCCTGTTTCTACTCTTTAAAATTGAGGTATAATTGACAGTGAAGTGCACCAACTTAGGCCTGCACCATGTTGCCTTCTTACAGGTGTGCAGACTGCTATAGCCAGATGTGGAGGCTTCCTTGTGTCTCCTCCAGTCCCCCTCCCCCGCTCCAGGAAACCACTGCCCTGATTCCATCACCACTGATGAGCTTTGCCTGTTTCTGAATTACATCTAATGGAATCATTCTGTCTGTGCTCTTGTTCTGTCTGCATTCTCCTGTCTCCGTGGGTGTCATCTGAGTTGCTGCATGGGAGAAGACTTGATTCTTCTTCTTTGCTGTGTAGGGACCCATGGCAGGAACATACCACACTTTATCCAGCATGCTATTGGTGAGTATTTGTTTCCAGTTTTTGTAGAAGACAACAGTCTTTGGGGAGCGGGTATAAGCCCTTATTTCTCATAAGTGCCTGACCCTTCTGTGCTTTTTGACCCCTATTCTTAAGTTCTTTAAGAATAAGGCATTTCCTCTCTCCAGCTCTGGGCCCGCTGGGTAGCACTTGCCTGAAGTCCAAGCCCCAACAGCGCTGCTTTGCTCCCAGCTAACGGAGCTGTTCTGTCTTAGCCAGGAGTCAGCCAGTCCTGTCCACCGGGGCCAAGCCAGGCCAGAGCTCCAGGTGCTGTGGCCTGCACATCTGAGGTGTGTGGTGTTACTGGGCTGGGTGCTACAGCCGATGGCACTCTGTTACCGTTGTCTGTGGGGACTCAGAGTCGGGACCCTGCTCTGTGTGTGGCAGCGAGGTAAGATAGGCTTCTTCTCCTGGCAAGTGTGGCGCTGGGTGCAGTATCCTCCCAGCATGGTTTTCAGTGGATTCTAAGTATCACATAGCTGGCTGATTTTCAAGAAGTGGTGGCAGAGGTTTGTGTGAAGAGTGGGTGGAGCTGTCTATGTGCCAACAGAAATGTCACTCTGAGGTCAGGTGAGAGGAGACAGGGTTGGACTGAGAAGCCCCTACAAGCTCCGGGCCACTCCCCAGAGGCCAGGATGTGGACAGCTACGGCCAGGCTGTCAGGGTGCATGTGACCTCTTCGGGCCACCCCAGTGTGGATGCCGACTTGTAGCTCAAGTTGCCCAGCCTCCTCCACACAGACCAGAGGGATCCTGGGGAATCTGGAAGTGAGGGGCGGGCTGGGAAACGGGGTAAGTGGCCCCAGGCCCTTCCCCTGCTGAGCCATGGGAGGGGTGGAAACGGCATGGGCTGAACCCGAGAGGGTCCAGTCTTGCCCTCTCAGGGCCTCGCCTGGCTCTGAGGTGAGTCTCACCTGCCAAACTGTGGTAGGACCCTCTTTGGGGTCAGGGCCCTGCGCCTCCACGGAAGGCAAGCAGGGAGGGGAGGCTCTGGGGGAGCAGGAGTGGCTGGGTTAGCCTTTCAGGGGGATGCCCCACCCAGGCCTGGGCTGCTGGAGGCATCTCTTAAAGGAAGTTGTGAAATCTACCTCAGGACTAAGTTGGGTTTTGATCTGGAGCCAAGAGGCCTAACGCTGTGGCTCTGAGAATGTTTTTAAGTGGTAGGCGTTCCTCCAAACCTTTGCTCAGGGAACAGTGGACTCTGGCTCTTCCACCAACTCCTGTGGTGGAGGCCACCCCACTCACTGAATGCAAAGCCTCCACATGTGGGGAGGGGACAACTCGCAACAGTAGGACTGAGGGCAGATTTCCTTAATGTGCAAATAGTGGCACCATTTTTCTTAGTTCATGGTGTGTGTGGTTCATGGGTCTGAGCACTGCATGTGGATTACCTCCCTTACCCTCATCAGTCCCTTCTACAGAAGGGGAAGCAGAAGCACTTGGAGGGTGACAGCCCAGCTGGGTGGCACCACCAGCAAGCAACAGAACCAGAATGCAATCCGGGCAGTGGCCTGGAAGCCTTCCATGTGCTGCTGTAGCTCCTCACAAGAATCACTGCACATCAGTCCTCACAGCCACTACCCATCAGTAAGAAAAACACAGTGACAAGCCAAGAAAAACGGACTAAGGACCATTAACAGACAATGCACAGAAGGACAACAGAAATGGATGTACCTGTAATCAAGGAAAACAACTAGATCCAGTGGGGACACCTTGGACTGGCAAATGATTTAATGATTTGTAATAATGCCAAGCTTGTCAGGGAGTGGGGGCGCAGGCCCACTGGGTGTTCCCTGGTCTGGCTGGTCTGGAATGCTGCTCAGCAGGACCGGCCCAGTGCCTCCAACAGCCTGGAGTCCCCTCCTCCCAGCACTCCATCTTCAGAATCCTCCTGAGGATACTGTCACCTCGAGGGGCAGCAGAGATGAACATGGATAGTTCATCGAGGCATCATTTACAGGGGTGAAAAAGCAGAAAAGTACACAAATTCCAAAAAACAGGACTAGCTAAAGAAATCATGGACATAATACTAAGGGACCATTCAAAGTGATATTTCCTGAGAAAATTTGGTAACACAGAAAAATGCTCATGTAATCACATTACATGAAAAGAGCAGAACATGAGACTGCATGGAGTGTGGGAACGACGGCGGTGTGGTTGCTCACAAGCCACTCGCCAAGGCCGGGTCCTGAGAGCTGCGTGTGGAGGCCCAGGTGCCAGCAGAGCCCTGACTCCCTGCACATGCCTGTGTGTGGCTAGACTCTGTGTGCAGGTATTATTTTAAAATGTTCTATTCTGAAATCATTTCAAATCTACAGAAAATTTACCTGGGTTTAAAAAAGAACTTCTATGTAGACTTTACCTGGAGTCACGCATTAGCATTTTATCACATTTCTTTTTTCTTTCACCATTTGTGATAATACATTATACATTATATTATACATTATATATGATATGTTATATATAATGTTATAATTACATATCATTATACACACACACATATATATGTATATATGAAGATAAAGTTGTTTTTCTGAGCTGCTTGTGAGTGGACCACAGACCCCAGGCCCTTCACCCCAGTTAGTCAATGTGACTTCCTAAGATTCTAAGATGAAGGGCATGATCTTAACCACAGCACAGCAGATTAAATTCAGAAATCTATTGTAAATCTATCAAGTATACAGTTTCTGTCCAAATTTTGCCACATGTCCCAGTAACATCCTTTATAGCATTTTCCCTCAACCCATCCTCCAAACCCTGCCTTTGGTTGTCACACCTCCTCCATTGCCTTTAATCCTGGGCTAGTTCCTCAGCTTTCTTTATCTTTCATGATCTTTATTTTTCACAAGCATAGACACTTGCTTTGTGTTATAATGCCCTACTTTGTGTTGGTCTGATGTTTCCTGGGGATTCAACCCACACTGGTGTTTCTGGAGCATCACAGTGGGAGTTCCACCAAGTTGGCCTGGCTCACCCCTGGTGATGTGAATGTGGACCATTTGGTTAAGGGGTTGCCCACCAGTGTCTCCAGGGGAAGCTCAGCACTCCCTTTGTAATGAGTAAGTAATTTCTGAGTGACAGTTCTCTGCGAATATACTGTTCCCCACCAAATTTTTATTCATAACTTAGCATCCATCAAATGCCTGAGTCAACTATTATTATGATGGGTGCAAGTATGTAATACTTTCCGTTTTTAAGATTTTATTGATTTATTTTTAGAGAGAGGGGAAGAGAGGAAGAAAGAGAGGGAGAGAAATAGCCATTGACTCTCTCATGCTCCCCAACCAGAGACATGACCCGTGATCCAGGCACATGCCCTGAGCAAGAATCAAACTGGTGACCTTTCACTTTGCAAAATGATGCCCAGACAACTGGGCCATACCAGTCAGGGCTCAAGTAGGTATTACTTTTGTAAGTTAAAGTAAAACTTACTTTTAAAAAATCAGGGGAGATTGGTGCAAGGGTAAATGCAAACAACTGTATTTGAACAAAAAAAAATCAAAAATTTTAAAAATTGGTGATTTTTCACTTCTAAAAACTGTGGGAGATAGATGAAACAAGACTGAAGAAAATGCTGATGACTGGTGAGCCCGGGGGTTGGGTGTTCCAATAGATTATACTATTCTTTCCACTTCTGTGCATCTGAATATTTTCATAAGAAAAGTTTTTTTATTTTACTCTGATTAATGATATTCGTGTTAAAGTATTTTGGGAGCCCTGGCTGGTGTAGCTCAGTGGACCGAGCACAGGCCTGTGAACCAAAGGGTGGCAGGTCCCATTCCCAGTCAGGGCACATGTCTGTGTTGTGGGCCAGGCCCCCAGTGCAGGGCATGTGAAAGGCAACAGCACATTGATGTTTCTCTCTCTCTCTTTCTGCCTTGCCTCCCCTCTCTCTAAAAATAAATAAATAAATAAAATCTTAAAAAAAATTCTTTTAAAAAGTGTTTTGGGAAAGCATACTATTGTCTTCAACTTAATTTGAAATGTATCAGAAAAAAAGATAAATGGACGGATAAGTCCAGGCCTGGATAACGGCTAGAGCTGTGAGCCAGAAACAGAAGTGTGAGTTGCAGAATCTAAGTGGTGAGTGGGTGGGAGCTCTTCATACAGTTCTTCCAACTACTCTGAATGTGTGAATGTGTCACCACAGTGTTGGAAGGAAAGTGGTTATTTCCAAGTGGCAAATAATTTTATCTTTCTACTGTACTTTTCTGTGTTTTAAAACCTCTGTAAAAAACACAAGCCACTTTGTTTTTTATATTTATTTTCAATTCTCAGGAACTTAGTAGCTTTAACAGGTGATGCCCAGGAGGTTGCTCCCACAGCAGGAGACAGGTGGGCCCTGGGCTGGCATGTGTGGGGTGGTCCTCCACAGACAGAAACGCCAAGTGTTCCTCAGGATCTGAGGGCAGGAAGCCCTTTGAAGAGGAATGGCTCCTTCCTCCCTCCTCATCCCTTTCCTGGATGCCAGAGTCACTTCCTCACCAAGCAGACATTCACCTTGCAGGGAGATGCTGTCCACACAGGCACAGGTTTGGGGCCCTGTGCACTCCGTTCCCTCCAAGGTGCTTTTCTCACATATTCCTCTTCTATTCTCCCTCCGTAAGAGCAGGGCTTGTGGAGAAGGAAAGAACAGACAAGAAGAAAAGAGCCATGTGTACCCTCAAAGCATGGGGTGGGGGGCCAGGGAATATGGTTCCACCCTGCTCCAGCTCTCCCTACTTCCTTCAGAATCAGGTTGCTTCCTTTTCCTATCTTATCAATGAGGCACTGAGTCTAACAGGTTCATATCCCAGCCTCACCACTTCCTAGACAAGCATGTTCTCCTTTCTGAGCCTTCCTTTATCTGGACAGTGGAGCTGCCCTGAGAATGAAGGAGATAATCCATACCAGCAGTGTGCCTATTCATTCTGCAAAGGGGCCCGACCAACGGTCATTGTCCTTTATCCACCTGAAGCCTTGTATGTGGCCATCACTCTTCCAGACAAAGAAGCAGCAGGAACAACATGCAGTTCTTGCTCCTTTGCAGGTGAGGCTCAAGCTACAAAATTATTATCAGTCAATGTAGTCCAATAAAAAATATTATCAAGGACTTCCGCCAAGATGGAGGCATAGGTGGATGTGCCGTGCCTTCTCACACAACCAAGTTTAGAGACAACTAAATATTAGCAACAGAAAACACAGCCAGAACACGGAAAATTGAACTTTTCGGAAGTCCATTAACAACAAATTCTTCAGTCTGACCGGTAAGGGGTGAAACCAGCGGCTGGTGAAGCGGGATTGCACAGGTCTCGGTCAGCCGGACTCAGGCGCGGAATCCAGATGCGCAGAATCCAGGTGCAGGGTTGGACCTAGTGAGCGACCGAGCGAGCCACCAGGCCAGCGACCTCGGGGGAGACAGCGGGGGAGCGATGCTGCGTGTTGACTGTGGTCGTGCATTTGTGTGTGGGCGGACAGGAGAGGGAGTGGGCCGTTGGACTGGGGGCGGGCCGTCCCCGCGGCAAGCGGCAGGGAGAGCGCCGCCATTTCCCTGCTCTGACCCCACCTCCACATACAGCGTCATAACCCAGCGACTCTGAGTGGCCCGGCCCAGGTAAACCACCTAATACCTCGCCCAGCTGTGAGAAACAGCAGAGGGGGTCGCCATTTCCCCGCTCTGACCACGCCCCCACATACAGCGTCACAACCCAGCGACCTGGGAGTCCAAGGCACCGCTTCTCACACTTAAAGGGCCAGAACAGACCAAAAATGATGCAAGAATATCTCAAAGCCCCAGAGCCCATAGATCTAAGCGATGAAGAAATAGCAAAACTCTCAGATGCACAGTTTAAAACACTGGTCATCAGGATCCTCACAGAACTGGTTGATTATACCAACAAATTAGACAAACATATGAAGGCGAAACTAATTGAAATGAATGGAATTGCACAGGACACCAATAGCAATGAAAAGGAAACTGGGACTCAAATCAATGGAGTGGACCAGAAGAAAGCAAATAATGGCCAAACAGAAAAGAGTCAAGAAGCAAGAATTCAAAGAAATGAGGAGAGGCTTAGGAACCTCCAGGACATCTTTAAACGCTCCAACATCCGAATTATAGGGGCACCAGAAGGGGGAAAGGCACAGCCACCAGTGGAAAACTTATTTGAACAAATAATAAAGGAGAATTTCCCCCAATCTGGCAAAGGCAATAGACTTCCAGGAAATCCAGGAAGCTCAGAGAGTCCCAAAGAAGGTGGACCCAAGAAGGAACACACCAAGGCACATCATAATTACATTAGCCAAAATTAAAATGAAGGAGAGAATCCTAGAAGCAGCAAGAGCTAAGGGGACAGTCACCTACAAAGGAGTCCCCATCAGACTGTCAGCAGATTTCTCAAAAGAGACCTTACAGGCAAGAAGGGGCTGGAAAGAGGTATTCCAAGTCATGAAATCCAAAGACCTACAACCAAGATTGCTCTATCCAGCAAAACTTTCATTTAGAATGGAAGGACAGATAAGGTGCTTCTCAGATAAGATCAAATTCAAGGAGTTCATCATCACCAAGCCCTTATTATATGAAATGTTAAAGGGACTTATCTAAGAAAAAGAAGATAAAGAAACATGAACAGTGAAAGGACAACAAACTCACAGTTATTAACAACCACACCTAAAACAAAAGCAAACTAAAAGGACAGCTAGATCAGGAGTGGAAACATAGAAATGAAGATCTCAAGGAGGGTTAGCAACAGGGGAGTGGGAGGAGGAGAAGGGGGGAGAAGGTACAGAAAATAAGTAGCATAGACAGTAGATAGAAAATAGATGGGGGGCAAGAATAGCATGGGAAATATAGAATCTAAAGGAATTGAGACACATGGTCATAAACTAAAGGGGGGATAACGGTGGGGATGGGGGGGTAGGGTGGAGGGGAATGAAGGGGGGAATAGAACAACTGTAACAGCATAATCAATAAAAAATTTAAAATTAAAAAAATAAAATGCAAAAAAAATATTATCAATAAATATTATCAATTATCAGTACACCAATAAAAATATTTTCTGCCAATGTGGTCAAAAGCCCCTGACTTACTCATAGGTTCAAGGGTAGAACCCAAGACCCTGGATTAGAAAAGCAGTGAAGTGGAAAGTGCAAGGGACATCTGTTTAGATCCTGTGTGGATACCAGTGCCATCTGGTTGTAAGTGGTGACTCAGGTGAGCTCAGGTGCTTTATCACAGGGATGCCTAGGGCAGGAGGAACCCAGATTCCTCCTAGGAGCCACATGACAGGGTCTCCAGGACAGGAGGAGGGTCAAGTTGAGGTCAACCCTATCTACTAGTCACCTTAGGAGCTGATGTCCCTGTACAGCTCCCACCAAAACACACTTACATTTTTCTTGATTTTTCAGCATCTCGTTGGGCTCTTGGCTTCCTGTGAGGTGGCCTTTATTTTTCCTGCCCCATCTTTGGTGGGGCCCCATCTTTGGTGAGCCCTACAGAGAAAAGGACTCCAATCAATCGCTTCTCCAATGTGGAGGGTTCTCCTGGGTAGGACTCTCAGGTCAGTGTTCCTGCTGGGATGTGGTGTCTCTGGCTGGTCTGCTGAGTGGACCCTGCCCCTGGCTTGAGCATATGCTGTGTGAAACTTTGTGCAAGTAAAGATAGTTCACCACAGTCTTTTAAGACCACTGTCTCTTTGCAGCCCATCTTGCCCTTCACCCTCCCACTGGCAGGAATGCTGTCGGAGTGGGCATGGAATTTCAGGGTGTTACAGGGAAGCGAACTGGAGCTAGGGTTTTGCTGGAACTAGGGTTTTGCGGGGGCTGCGTGGGTTTTACTTACATCCGCAGCACTTCCTTGTATAGTTAGTTTTTTACAGGCATCTCAGTGTGGGATTGGCTTCTAGGAATATTCCTTCCTCCTGGGGCTGACTCACTCACCTGGCGTCTGGACACAGAGCCTTCAGGGCCAGGGGTGGAGTTTTGCTGTTCAGGGCAGCACGTGGGCTGTGGAGGAGAAGCAGGATTGGAATGCAGGAAGTCTTGCTGGTAAATTATGCAAATGTTTCTCTCTAGTAAATTATGCAACAGTTCCTTTACTCTGTCTCATGGTACCCAGGAAACCAGAAGACCCTAGCTCACTGCATTGGGGACTGGGCACCTTTCCAGATCCCTCTCTCTTCCTACCCTGCAAGCATGGCTGCTGCCCAAATCCTGCCCACCCTGAATGTCCCATTTCTCATCTCAGAATTTGCTTCTGAGACAGGAGCTATGTGTTTATGAAAGGAAGACTGCAGAGTAGAGAAACTTTTTGGAAAAGCAAACCTTGCCCTATTTCTCCTTCTTTGAAAATGTAGATTTTCCTGGCACATGGAGCTTTCATGCTCACTACACTATGTTAGTTTCAATATAATAGTGGATATGAGTTGGACACTGGAGCCAGATTTCAAAACAAAAACTTCAAAACCCCTTGCAACTTCCCAGGGGAGCCTGAGACAAGTGGCTCAGCTCTAGGAGCCTCCCCAAGGTGCAAAATGGGAGCAATCGGAATACCTACATTATAAGGGCTGTGGTTGGGATGAGGTGTGGTGATGCAGATGCAAAGCCCCACCCAGGGTCTCACACAGAGACCCTGCTCAGTACATGGTAGATGTTTTGTTAATATTACTGTTTAGTATTTTTATTAATATTACCCACAACTCTACTGTGAGGAGGTATCTAGCATTGTAAGCCCTCCATGCATGTGGGAAGGCAGGGGAGAGGTAAGGAGCCAGCAAAGAGAGCAGGTGTGTGGGTCACAGACCCCAGAAGCAAACCGGGACTGATGCAGCAGTGGTATGCTAAGGAAGCACTCCTGAGGAGAGTGGGAAGGGAGCCAGAGAAGAGAAGAAATCAGGCAAGGCTGTGCACCCAGTAGAGACCTGCCAAGGGGGCTTCCCTTCCCCTTGCTTTCAGAACTGAGCTACATCCCAAATTTTCTAGCCTGAGCTAAAATGCTGGATGTTCATGCTCCCACACCTGTCAGTTCCCTTTTAAAGACCATCCTGGGGAGAGGGGGCACTTTCAGCTCTCTTCAAGGAGGCACGGTGACTCCAGTAGTCTGGGGACAGCCCACTCTGAAGAATCTCAGGTGAGAACAGTTGGAAGGCAAAGCACACTCAGGCAAAGGGGGGCCATATGGAAACACCCAGATCAGACCTGGGCAGAGCAGGAAGTGAGGCCCCAACGGGATAAAGGTGTACACCCTGGGTTAGGAGATGGGAAACTAAGGCTTTCACAATTGTTTGTACAAGTATAACACTTTTCCCTTGAACCTTGTTCTTTTCACTTAGTAGTTTATTTAGGTGATCATTCCAAATTTTGAACATAAAAAGTTGCCATATTCCTTTTTAACAGCTTTAGTGTTCATTGAGTGGATGTTTTTATGGAGCTTATCATCTTCTACTGACAGGTATTTAAGTTGTTTCCAGGCTTTTGCTGTTAAAAACATACTGCAGTGAGCATCCTGTACTGGTGTCATTTGTATACGTGCCGAAGTCCCTGCAGGGCAAATTCCTAGGGTGCATTGAGGTCAAAAGGCACAAACATTTAAACTTGCTTCTTGTTTAGATTTTATTTATTTATTTTTAGAGAGTGAGAGGAAGCGGAAGAGGGAGAGAAACATTAATGTGTGGTTGCCTCTCATATGCCCCGCAGTGGGGGACGTGGCTTGCAACCCAGGCATGTGCCCTGACTGGGAATCAAACCAGTGACCCTTTGGTTCAGAGGCCAACACTCAATACACTGAGCCACACCAGCCAGGGCCATTTAAACATTTTTGATAGCTCTGTCCCACTAGTAATATATGGTAGTACTGGTCTCCTACACCCCACCAACACAGTGTTATTGAAGTTTTGAATCATTGCCAATCTGAGAGGTGAAATATGGTATTAAAATGTAGTTTCAATTCACATTTCTATTTTGAGTAAGACTAAACATCTTTTTAAAAGTGTAAGAGTCATTTGTGTTTCCTGTTCTGTGGACAATCTGTTCATATTATTTATTGTTCATTTTTCTATTGCAATTTTATTTCTCTTATTGTTACATATTAAGAAAATTTGAGTCTTGAGCAAAAATGTCTCAAGGATGGAAGCAGAGGGAGCACATTCATCCCAAAGGCTGCCCATGAACTTTGTTACCTAAATCTTGTGACCAGATCACAAGATTTGCTTCCCAATGCTTGGTTCTTCACTCGCTGTTTGGCTTCCGTGAGCTCATCTATAACCTCCTGAGGGATGTTTTGTTTGGGCTCAGTTTTCCCGAGTGGTGTCAGTGGTTTCAGGAGCCACAGCCTGTGTACCTGCCTTCCCCAGCTTCAGGGTCCATGGAAAGCAGTTGAGTGTGGTGTCTCCCTCTTCCAGCAGGGACTCTGTTTTCTCCACAGTGTCTCCCATTTCAGATCCCAGGTGACTAGTGCCCTGTCTTCACAGTGGCCTGTGGGTCCCACACAGCAGCAGGAAGGTGAGGGCACTGACTGGCCTCAGAGCCTCTGTGCTTCTGGCTCTAGGAGTGTGGACAGTGAATCTCCCTCAATGGCTCTGTCCTGGACCCTTGAAGGGCAGAGCCAGCAGAGGTCGTGGGAAAGGTAGGGACCAGTCCTGCCATAGATGGAGGAGACATGGTGCAGGGGAGATGCTAACCCAGGTTGTGCACCTCATTAGGGACACCTGTGGGTCTGGGGCTCCTGTTCATTGGTTCCCCAGACATTCCTGAAAGGCTGGGCTCAGACAGGGCCACTAACAAGTGAATAGTAAACCTGGTCTGATGCATAGCCCTGACAGCTGCTGAGTAGGGACAAGGAGGCAACACGGAAAATGTCCTCAATGTGGAAGGCTGTCGGCCAGGAGACCATTCCTGACCAAGACCAGGTAAGAATAAAAACAACAGGGCAAAGTGCATACTAGGCCATGAGAACAGAGCAAGAAAGCCCTTAGCACTGGAAAGGGTAGACAAAGGTCAGGGAAAAGCTGGAGGTGAGCCAGGCTGGAGCACAGCACATGGCAGAGAGTCAGACAGGACAAGGCCACATGCTGGTGGGACCCAAGACACATCAGGTTCAGGCCATTGCTGTCTAGGCAACCAGAAAGACAAGCTTGTATCTCGAGTATCCTTAGGCGTAACTGGGCAACCCTCAAAAGTTTTACATGCTCATGCTGAGAGGGTGGCAGTGGGAGGAAAGAGTGGGACTCCCTGTGGAAACCACCCTTCCTTAGATGGCCTCACAAAGGTCCTGAAAGATTGCAGCTGAAGCGAGCACAGGGCTACCCTAGGCCACCCCTGGAAGGGCTTTATCCACGACTCTTTGAGTCCCAGGGGAAACGGCAGAATGAACCCTACCACCCTCAACCTTGAAGCAGCCCACAGCCAATGCGTGTGGGAGAACGAGGTACCAGCTGGCTGGTGGTGGGGTTGGGCTGGTTCTGGGGACAGTTCTGTGAGGGAGGCAGCCCTAGTCCCCACTCATGCAGCTCATCTGGGCTCCTTCACTTTCCTGTCTTGCTTTCCCACTCACTATGGTGTTTTTGGATCACTTCCACATAAGCCACCTGCACTCAGATCCTTGTCTCAGGCTGGGGGACGCTAGTGAAGGTGGAGTTCTTAGAAGAGACCCACACATTGCCCCACTTCCACACCCCAGCCACAAAAAACTGGGATCCCCATTCTTCCCACATAGCCTGCTGCTGACCCTAGAGCTCAGGCAGAGTGCCTGGGGATGTTGTCGAGTGTGGCTCCTACAGAGAAGGCCAAGAAGCTGGGGAGCCCCTGGGAGCAGGGAGAGGCTAGGCCACGTCTCCCGGCCCAAACTGCCGGGCCTTTTTCCAGGTGACCTGGCCATGGGTGCCAGCAAGGGCTGCTCTGGAGGACGTAGTGCCTGCTTCACCCCTTTGGCCTCCAGGCTCCTACAATGAAAAAAGATGGTACTTGGAGATCCTTCCAGGAAGTCTGGGGGAGCAGTGCTAAAGCCTAGCGTGTTGGCTCCTCACCCAACACTCTTCCAGCTGCTTCAGGTGCCTCTCCTGGTACCCCATCACCACTGGCCTCTGATGCTGGGACTAACCAGGGGCTGGGAGACTTGAGGGGACCCGAGTAGTCTGGTGCACACTGTCTCTTAGGGAGAGGCCGAGGGCAAGGGCTCCTTGCACTAACAAAACTGTCATACCCTCAGGCAACTGCCTGTCCCCTCTGGGTCTCAGCTCTCCCTTCAGTGAGGAAGTAGAGGAAGGTCCCTTCCAGCTGCAGATCTGCCGAGCTGGGGACAGGGAAATGGGGGGCAAAGACAATTCCCAGAATCCCAGGAGTCCTAAAATCACCCTTTGTCTAGCAATTCTGAGAAAGGCCGAGCGAACAACATTCTCGGGACTCAAATGAAGTGGGAGGGGGCCATCAGCTCAGCTGTCTGTGGTTCAGGGCAATGAGAACCAAGAACATTTGGGCCGCAGACAGCCAGGTGGCTGGCCTTCCCTGCATCATTGATGGCTTGCAGTGCCAGGCTACAGAGGGGAGGCTGCACAATCTTCCTCTGCAAGGTTTCAAGGAAAGAAAGCCAGACCTGTGGGAGGTCTGCCCTCCCTCCCAACCCCATCTTGGCTTCTTCTAAAGCTCATTCAGGAGAAACACTACCGTACCTACTCCCTGAAGGAGGGGACCAGCTGACGGCCTTTCTGGGCTCAGCCAGTCTGGGGCTGGGGCAGGGCCTGGTCTTTCATTAGACTTGGGCGAGCATACCCATCTGCTCCCTCCACCTGCAATCCACACAAGGGTCTGAGGTCCTCTCCTCCAGGCCTCAGGCTATATTTCCAACACCATGCATAAAATTTCACCATCATGGCATAATTCTTACCTGTTGAGGTATCATCTTGGGTGAAAAAAGTAGATTTCCCTGCTGTGAAATGCATTCATCATGAAATTTAAATGGACTGACAATAACACAGGCAGCTTTTTTCAATGCCTGGCCACAAATGCCCAGA